CCCCCCCCCCCCCCCCCCCCCTCCCTCTCTCACGAGAACATCCCCTCAATCCCCCATGCCGTTGGACCAGTCTCGTAGCATTCCAACGTTTACCTTTAGTTAATTAAAGGAAACATCGATGTAACATCGAGCAACCGCACCAGAGATTCGCATCCAACGGAGGTAGAAACCTTCTCGCGTTAGGCTTCACTATCTCCTATCTCTATCTCTATATCTTTCTCTCTCCACTCTCAAGCATCTCTGATGAAGAAACCTTGAACAACCGTTGACCGCGATTTCTTCCCTCTAGATTTTTGAGTGCCATCCCACTTTCAACCCGTGGCTCAGAGCTTCTACGGCACCTGGTGTTCGGCACACCCACGTGGATGATCGTTCACGTTGATTCCGATATTTTTCTCCCGCCAACAGACGCAGAACTAGCAGCTCCGCAGGCGTGTCTTTTTCGCCCCCCCGCCCGCGAGGGATCGGAGAGAGATGTGTTTGCGTCTTGTGTGCCTCCATATCGGTAGCGCATGCAATTTACGATCGGAGAGACAAGTGTTGCTTGCTGTGTGCCGCCACATCGGTTCGCGCAAGCAATTTAAGAACGTTACCACCGGTGGGGCTGTCGGTACCAGGGATCCATCGGACACACAATTGTGCTTCGTTCACGCCGCTGCAAGACAAGTACTGCTGTGTAGCCGCATATGGGAGTACAGTAGGGGTTCACAGAGTCTCGACTTTGGAGGCATACAAGAGGGAATGTGTTCACGACGCCCGGTATGCACTGCCGTGAAAATGCCATCATGTTTAATTTTTTACATGGGAACGCTTGCTCTCAGGGGAGGTCGACTCTCGTCAACGGGTCGATAGAGCATGTCCATGGATACACAAAGCGCCAACACTTACGAACATGGCAGTTCAGAAATCGAGCCACCGAAAACTCAAGATGCGAGAACTGGTGTATTTTTCGATGCTTTGGCTTGAACAGACTGTATTTTTTCCCAGTTTCCAGTCGGTGTCCTTCCACTCACTGTTGAAGACTTGAGCACATGTCTTTCGAATGTGGTATTGCCTCGAACGGGTACTTGTAGTAGTCTTTCGTTGTTTTTCATTTGGGCATATTTTTTCAAGAACTTGAGCATCTTTTGTGACCCCGCTTAAGAACCGCTACACGAAAACCTGTACGGTCGGGTAGGGGTCCCTGTTTAGTGCCCGTATGTGTCCAGAAAATTCACCGGCACCAAACCGGACCAGCGCTATTCAAAGTCTTGAGCATGATTTGGAAATTCAGTGTGTGTCCTAAGCCGAAAGCACCGATACTAATCAACCGGCGCTAAACACGGACCTCTACTGAATAGAGGCCAAAACTAGAGGTCATGTAGTTCGGGCGCTTTCTGTACATGTAGCCTACTTTTTCTCTGCGGTGCTGTGCACAAAAATTCGGTATGTGCCGAAAGCGGGCGTTTCTTTTACCACCGCTCACGAGAGGTTGGACTATGGTATATACGACTTTTGTGTTGTCGAGAAATCGAAAAGATACGTGCCCCAACGAACAGGTTGCCAACACCTCCGTGAAGTAGAGATAAAAACGCGACGCAGTAGTGTCCGTTTGCCCAAAGATTCCCGAGTCGAGCGTTAACAGCAGGCCTCATGTTGGATCACGAAGAGTGATCGGTCGAACGGTCCGTGTCGCCTCGAGCCCGCTGCCGCCCGCGTGAATGTCGTTGCCTGAGTCCGCACTCTCCTTGTCTACGCCGCCGTCGTGTTCGTTCATAGCTCGAAGAAGTATTAGTTCGGAGGTTGACCAACCTTTGTTCCCTCTCTTTTTAGACGCGTTCGACCCGCTAAAACGCATGCTTTTGCCCCCTGGGTTCACTGCGGGTATCCCTTCCCCTGTCCTGCTGCTTTTTTTTGTGCCGTGTCCGTGCATTTCTGGCTGTCTTGGTTCATGTCTCCTGGTCCCATCTTTGTGACCGTTGCTTTTCTTTTTTTTTTTTGTCGTTGCAAATGCAGGCTCTCATCGAGGGTCCCGACACCGGCGTCCCCCGGCAACTGATCCCCTTCAAGCGGTTGGCGCTGACCGACTTCAAGCTGCCCATCCAGCGCAACGCACGCATTGGCACCATCAAGGCCGCCGCCAAGGTGTGCTTTGTATTCATTCTTTTCGGTGGCCGGCTCTTCTGTGCATCTTCCTGTGCTTGCTTGAACCTTTTCTGTGTTGTCTTTTTTCAATCTGCTTATGTACCTCCTTGTGTCTTGTGTTGGTGTCGTGCTTGTGCGGGACGGACACCCGCAACAGGAGGCGGACTTGTACGCCAAGTGGGAAGCATCTTCGTGGGCAAAGAAGAAGGCCAAGAAGGTCAAGCGCGCGCAAATGACCGACTTTGACCGCTTCAAGGTGGGTCAAGTGTTGAGATATACGGCGACACGGACCCTCTTTTTTGTGTCGCTTCCTTGTCGCTGCTGCCGTTGCTGTTGCCTGTTTGCTGGCCCCCTTTTCACCTCGAAACGCGGCAGGGTGGTGCAGCCCAGTGTTGCCATGAACTGTGGACGCACGTGTACATTTTTGGAATTTGCGCCGTAGCAACGTAGCAACAATTGCTACCTCGTGTAACAACACCCAGCGCGGGCTTGTCATGAAGTACGTGGATTGCCACGCAAACCTCCGTGATGATGCTTGAAGCGGATGTTTGATGAACAGCTTGCTCTTGCTTGTCTTTGCCTCTACCGCTACGCACCTTTCCCTTTTTTTCCTCGTTGTTGAAAGACTAATTCTGATCGGACCTAGTAGTCTACTCTCTTGACTTTGACTCCGATGGGAGCGCGCTGATAGGCTTCTCCCCTCGTTCTCTACCGAAGTCTTGATGTCATGTCTGTGGGGTTGCAGCCTCATAGCTGCTGACGTGCGTAGCGGATGCCACCTTTCTTTACTCTCGATAAATTGGATTTTTTTTTACGGGAGGTTTTGGGGATATAGCGGAGACTTGAAGGGTGTAATAGTGTTTGTTGTGCATAGCTTGGGCCACTTGTTGCCCTGATTTTCGGAGAAAGTCTATTTTCCGGTGACTTGCCTAGACAGGTGTTGCGCTTCGCTTATGCCTCTGGAACCCAAAAGTGCCATTGCCCTCAAGGCTTGAGTGATGCACATCATCATGCGCAACACCGCCGGGACCAAAAGTCGTAACCCGCAAAGTCTCCAACCGCATCTTGGCTGCATGTGTGCCTCGTGATGCTTTTTGCGTTTTTTTTTCCGAGGTGTGATGGATTGGCTTCGTTTTTACATACTGCTGGCAGATGCACGCTCTCGCGGATGTGTAGACCTTTTGGTCAGAGAGGTGGATGCAGCAGCCCTTTGGTTTATCCTGTCTTTCTTCCTCTCTCCTCTCCCTCTGAGCATAGCACCCCCACCCTCCCCCCGGCTTTTCTTCTAAATTCCTGTTGTATCCTTTCTCTGCAGGTGATGGTCGCTCGCAAGCAGAAGAGCGCGATCATCGCTAAGAAGGTAGCGGAGCTCCAGGCGGCCGCTTGAAGCAAGCATCGGACTTCCTACTCCCCAAGTGTCGAAAGAGTATAAAGCAACAGCGGAGTTTTTGCCGTTGCTGCTGTTTTGCGCGCGGACGGAGGAACCAAGCAAACGTTTGTTGAGAAGAGAAGACGAGGAGAAATTCGCGGGCGGGTGGGGCGGGACCTTTTTTTGGGAAAGTCTCAAGCTGTAGATGAAGGTGCAAGAAGCCGAAGCTCTGGCGCCGTTGCCATGCCGCTTCCGCTGGAGCTGAGGGTTTTCTGGTACCTTTGACGGTGCTTGTGCGGGTAGCACGTAGTAGGCAGCTCTCGCGTACGCGATTTGACGCCACTTGCTGCTTTTCGGTGTCGGCATGACCGGGTTCCCTAGGGTACCGCACAGCCCGTTTCGGTTCGTGTTGACGGCCGATTCCTCTTGGCGCGTTTTCTTTTTGGTGTTCTCATGGTGTGTGCTGCGCTGCTTTCTTCGCCCATTGCCACGGCTACATAAAAAGAGTAAAAAAAAAAAAAACTGGCGCCCTGCTGGTGTTACTGTTGCAAGCTCGAAGTCTTGTGCGCTCTCGGCGGCACGCGCACTGCTGCTGTTGAGCGTGCCTTCCTGTTAGCATGCGGCTTGCCGTGGCGACTCTTGCCGCAAAGAAAGCCGAAGGGTTATTCTTGTAAGGGGGCGTTCGTTGCGTTTCGCCCCTTTGCCTCCCTCCCTACCATGCTTCACACGGAGACCTTACATTCTATGTTTGCTTGCGGCCCCATGGTGTATGGTCTAGTCGACGATGTACGTCGGCATGACGTGTACATTCGGTGCCCATATCCACGGACAACGTGCTGAAGGCCCTTTATTCTACGGGAGTTCAATTTCTGTCGCGGCTAAACAACACCATGAACACGACCTGGAAGGCAAAGCTGTTCTCCCCGACACGTACGTCTTATCTGTCTACGGTGCATGTTCGTAGTCGCTGAACAGGGCATGCCGCTAAAAAGGGGTCACTAAATCGGGCCCATCACGTGCACAACAAGACTGTTCGTGGCGTTATCATCGCAATATTTTCGGTCGGCGGGTGGTGTTTTTTCTTTGTCGTCCTCACGCTGTCTGTGTCTGGTGCTCTGTCGAGGCAACAGCAACACAAGAAATGCCTCCCTCTCATGATTCTCAAGCCCCTTTCGGAGATTGAGTTTCTGCCCCCACGCTATGAGGCAAGATCTCCATCCTCTTCTACGATAGCAGCCCCTGTTGCTTGGGTACATCCAATTCGCCGTTCGGGATCTGGCTTCCTGTGTGGCTCGAAAAGTTTTCGTTCGTAGTCGCTAGACTTCTCATTGGGCGAAAACCCTTGGTCGAAAAATTCTGGAAAATTTGGTTCAGGTGGTGTGATATCGTATGTCACCTACTCTGTGCTCGATCGGTGAGTGAGCCGAGTCGCTGTGTGCGCCCTCGACGCTACAATAGTGGAAAGCTCCAGACAGGCAACGCGACGATACTCGTCGAGTTGGTATCACAATGTCCAATTCTTTCGTCGTTCGGGATCTGTGGCTTCCTGTGTGGCTCCGAAAGTTTTCGTGCTTGGCCGCATAAACGAAGTAAATCAAGAGCACGCGCCTTTTCCCTTCGACAAGAAGATGAGGGTTTCGGCCAAATAGAATTTCAGCGGCAACCACCGTTGTTGACCGATAGAAGAACCGCGGGCAGTTTGGACCCTGGCTGGGACCACCATACGTTGCGACTACACGCCGCAAGTGAATCAGACAAGACAGACTGTTCCCAACACCACCACTCAAGGTTAAAGGTCTACAAGAAAAATTGAAAATAGTACCACGTCATGTGCGTATTCAACGTAATCCACCAGCGCAACCATCACCTCTCACTACTATCAGACCCCGAGATAGTGGCTGCGTGAAGGAATGGATGACCAAGTCATCACCCAACAGGGTATGCAAATAAACCCGCCTTGCATTCAGAGCAACGACTTCACCCCGCCCCCTCACCATCAGGTAAATCAGCACCCGGCGGCCAGCTCACAATCACGGGCCACGATTTTCATGCAAAGTTGGGGAAATAAAGGCAACTCACACCATGCCGTCCACTAATATGAAGGCACAGAAAGACGATGAATGGCCTTTACAACAGAGGGTGTCAGCAACAACATCGACGCCATCGCGCTCGTTGGGGGGTCAACCGACACGGCTGTGAGGACTGTACGGCAAAAAACGACATCAGAGGTCAGGTCAATATTGGCACACCGACACAATCGAGCTGCTTGCCAACCCCGGTGTAACACCGCCCCGTGAACACCGGCGCGAACGCTCGATCGAGCGAGCATCTAATACCTTTGCACCTCCCGCGAGATCATCATTGCTCGGTGAGATCAAACAACAACGCCGCGATGCCGATCACGCCACGCATGCAACCTCGCCGATTCCCCCAACTCTGGAATTTCCTCCAACCCTGAGCTGCTGCTTGGAAGAAAACCATTGTTGCTCTGAAGGAACACTGCTACATGATGCACGCGCCAAGCCAGACGCTACGCCGTCCCCGTCTCACCACATACATGAGCAAACAAGCAGATGTAGACCAGCCACCATCGCGTACGAAAAACATGAGATACATAAATTACAATACAAACACACAAATACACACACCGCCGCTGCACGGAAAAAAACAAGCCCACTACATTCTTCTCAAGCACGCATCCAGCGCGTTCCCTCAGATTCTACACTCTTCTCACTCACGGATGATAAAAGGCACGTGCCCCCGCATATGCCACAGCAGCCTCCAGCGGCCATGGGGGTGACGTAGAAACGCCTTCTTCAACCTCTACCCCCCCCATCGGCCCGTTGACCAGGACACCCTCATGAGAACCAGCCCCACTTCGTTTCCCCCCCGTCTGTTGCATTTCGGGGATGCTTCCCACGGCATCATATTCCACCCTTGGTTGGGTAGCAGCCTAACACATCTGTTTGTTGCGCACCACCGTCCTGAAGATAACGCACACTTGATGGCCCCTCCTCGTCCATGCCCTCGTAAGGTTTATAACAAGCCACAGAAACATCTTGGAGCCGCGGGATATTGCCAACCATACACGACACGTTGTTTTTGGAGTAAAATAAATCGGTCCATGACCACCGAGTTATCGTTGGGCGAGCTCGTGTGTCACGCACATTCTCGCCTTGCCCTGGTTTCTTCCCCTCTTTCGTCTACCGCACACGTATCCCAAACGGAAATCGAAAAGCAACCAAAACGGAAACAGAATCCAAGTTAAACGCATCCCTCGTGGGCTCTCTCGCCCTCACAAACACACACACATGCGCACGCACGTGCTTGCCCTTGCTGAGGCTGGCACCTGACACATTGATTGATGATTGGCCAACCGATTGGGACGATCAGTGCAACGGAGGACCTTCGACGAACACAACACACCCCACAGCACACGCGCACCGACAGCGGCTTCGCAGTAACATAAAAATGTACCGAATGAGTGTCTGCACAGCACCGGTTTGTGCGGTCGATACTATCAAAAGAAAACACACACGTTCATTCATACCCTGTCCACACGTATAGACCGCTATTTTCGATAGGTAGGCCGTTAGCAGCGGTCCATGAAGAACTCAAACGGAACGCAGACGAAAACAGGCCCGACAAACGCCACACACACACCATTCAACATTCATCAAGGCAGGCTGTCGCTCAAGTCTTGGGTCTAGACTCCGGTTGGTCATCCGAAATAAATAGAGCAAGCAGGCTTAAAAGGCATACATGCACATTTTGTTTTTTGTTGGAAATCCAGGAACAAACACGGACACACACGAAGCTGACGCCCTTGCAGTGGTTAGCCGGTTAGCGCGGTGACACTAAACAAGAAAAAATAAAAAACGCGGCGCTACATAGGCCTGCCTGCCTACCTCACCCCCTTTCCCTCAAGGAAGGCCGACCAACCCTCAGCGCGCACCGTAATACTCAACAGCAGTTTTATCCTATGATCGCCGTTGATAAAGACATAAAGGTACCTTCATGACGCAGACAAAGTCATGTCGAGCAGAAGACAACGACCCGGCTTCAACTCCGGTGGAAGACAACAAAGCACAAACAAATAGCTGCGGTGTCCGATTCCAATCCTCCAATTCAGACGAAGGCGCACTTTCGATTCGATCGGGCTCTACCACCAACTCGATGCAATCACTCCAACCCGGTCCCGCTTTTATGGAGGTGGCCAAAAAACAAAAAGTGCGGTCTTCCGTTTCGTCTTCGGCGACGCGTTTGCTATGGGTATCAAGTATAGCTCTACACTAAACGTCGAAGGAGTCGGCTTGTACGTAGTAATCGCTGAGCAAACCAAAGCATAAAAACGAACAGGATCATCGAAAAACCCAATTTTCCACACCCGGTTTTAAGCACACTTCTGGGCGGCAGGACAGGGGGGTGTCTTGTTCCCCGGACTCCGGACAATTCCCACCACAGCCGCCCTCGCCGTCACCGAGTCCACCACCGCTGCCGGCGCCGCTACTCCTGTCGCCGATTTCTCCGCTTTGCTCGCGGAAGTTCCCTCAAACTGCTCCTCCTCCTCCTCCTCCTCCTCCTCCTCCTCCTCCTCGTCAGCTACCTCTCCGGCTAGCTCATTCCGCCCCTCGCCGGCGCCCCAGAACGAGGACAGCTCCGGCGACTGCGAGGAGGAAGAGGTGGAGGGGGGGGAAGGGGAGGAGGTGTACGGGGTGGGGAGCAGCGGCGGGAGCGTCGCCTCTCGCCGGATC